AAACTCCGATCTTCACATGGTTGAATAGAAAATATGATTTTAGGGGGGGTTTCTTTTTTGTGTTTTTCCATAAAATGCCATCTTGGCTTCGGAAATCGCATCCGAAGTTCAGCTCTCAGTTTTTAAATTTAGCAGCTTTTTGGACCCTCTGGACTAGTTTTCTTGGGAGGGCATTTTGGGCATTTCACATTGCGTATTTTTCGATTTTTCAGGTGAGTCACGTAGAAAACTCGATTTTGAGGGGGGGTTTCTTCTTTGAGTTTTTTTTCAGAAAATGTCATCTTGGCCCTCAAATTTCCATTTTTCCCGGAAAAACCCCTGCTGCCAAGTTTTTGGGCTGCCCATTCTGCCTCCTTCACATGTAAACAGTTACGAGGGGTTTCGTAACCGGTTACATGTGCATGGGCAGTTTTTTTGGCGAGATTTTTGGCTTCCTAACCGGTTAGGAAGGTCTCCTAACCGGTTAGATGTTCTTAGTTGCCATCTTTTTAACCGTTTTGCCCCTTCTTCTTCCGTTAGCCATATCTTCTTCATCCGGACTCCAAATCAAGCAATTTTTGAGTCTAAGTTCATTAATTTTTTGTTGTATTTCCAATGGTGTGCTCAGTGACACCCACTTTTAAGCTGGAAATGATGATTTTGCCCCTAGGTTCATTCTTGTTCGTTTTTGAAACGTTGCTTCCCCATTTGATTCCTTTGGGTTCCGTGACCTCGTTGAGGATCATAATGGTGTCCTAGAGCCATGTTATATCTCTAGAGACCGTTGTTTTGTCTTTTGCTTCCGCATTTCGGATTCGTTATCGGGTCATCTTTCGGTTCATCACTGACGCACCGGGTTGAAAAACTTAGGCCGTCACAAGATCGGCTTTGAACCACCGATAGTTAATTTGATACTGCATCCATTTTTTGATTCATCCCATCCATGTGAGCATTAACCTCTTGCTTCATCCCATCCATGCGAGCTCCCAAACGAGCCTCCTGGTTTTCCATTCCCTGCCGAATGGATTCAAGTATTTGCATAAATGAAGCATCCGATGGGAAGGAAGCTCCTGCTGTATGAGATCCGACTTGACCAGTTGGCTGGACTTCCTCCTCTTCTTCTTCATTTGAATTCGTATTCTTTGTGTTCCTCTTGGGAGGCATCATTGTTGTAAATAAATTATTCACACAGTGGGTCCCACCGGGAGTGCCAAAAATGTTGACGCTAAAATCAGCTCCTAAGATCCGATCTTAAATTGAGATAGAGCGGGCGTACCAGAACCACTTGTGTGGTTCAAGTGTAAATTGTCAACTTTAGTCCCTTTGAGCAAGTTGACTTTCATGCGATGCGAGGAAAAAGGGAACAATAAAATTCCTCTTTTGAGTTCAATAATGCCTTAGTTAAAAAGACTTTATCAGTGAATAATATATATATAGTAACGTATCAAGAGAATAGAAAAGGGAAGAAATAGATATAGAAAATGATTGGGAGAAGAGATATAGGGAGAGAAATAGAACGAGACTGAAATAGAGAGGAAGAGAGATAGATATAGCAATGATGCTATTTGAGGAAAGTGCTTGAAAAAGTAAACAAAATACTAAATTGATTCTGAGGGTGTTAGACCTTTTACAAAGCATGCCTATAACATTATTTATAGAAAACTACATAAAACAAACTTCTACATGCAAGTATTTCAAATACATCAAACTCTATTACATAATTAACTACTAAATTTAAATCAAATTCATCGATAACCTTCCTAATTGTCAATCTAAAACAAACTAAATTACTGATAACCTAAATACTTAGCTACACTTATCCAAAAGATAAAAACTAAAACTGCAATCCTTATCCATTTTTAAATTCAATACATATCCTTGCATGTTAGTTATACCCCATGTGAACCTGCATAACCATTTCCTTCAAACCACTTGCAATCGGCCCATTACTAAACCGAACTTCCTCTCAACATTCAAAGCTTATCCTGTTATCATATTTTCAGCCCAACAACAATTCAGGTCTCAACCCAAATCCATTGCTTAATCCAAATCCAATACTGCATACCTCCAGCCCAATGTCCTTACGGCCCAAATACCGAAGTGGGTGTCAACACTAATTGAACCTCAATTTCAACCAACGCCAATAACTTACTTGTCACACGTGTTTTGGTTTCATTATATTACGTTTTCTTAAAGAGACGACTTTCAACAATTTTATTCAACAATAATAAAATTCAGAATATATATTTATATAAGAGTTGCAGTGTTCCATCTAACCGTAATAAAATTTAAAATACAATATAAAATCAAATATTAAAATTAAAGAGAAAAGTTGAGAAATTTCTAACCTGTATAATGAAAAGGAAAGCAATAGTACGTATAACTCCAATGTCTTCCACGCATACATTGTCATATTGTCCATAAATTCAAATATAGGGAAATGAAAATAACAATAGATTTGTTTCTGGAAAAGGGAAAGGAAGATAATGGCATAGAAAAGTTACATAAAGGTACCCAGTACATGTTAAAACTTATATGTAATATGTGAGAGGAACCTTATATACGCTACTCCACACACCTAGTAAGTAGACACGACTATTCAATATTGACAATATTGAATTCTACTATTCAATATTGAATTCTACTATTCAATATTGACACCTTTCCATATTGAATTCTACTATTCAATATTGACACCTTTCCATATTTTTATTATTCACATTTTTTCAAAATTCAACAATTGGGAAGTTTTAAAAACTTTTTTAATTAATAAAAACTTAACCATAACTAACTAAAAATTATGATTTAAAGTATATGTATATATATACACAATAGGTATTTTAATTTGGAGACAACTCTAGTTAAAATAACATCTTTTTGAGGCAATTATTCCAAAAAGTAATGTTAAAATATTTTTTAATTATTTATTTTGTTCTTAAAATGAATAGTTAGTGTCTGTTAACTGAGATTTATTTATTAATTTAAAATACACAAGGTGTTTGGCATTAATTAGAAGGTAACTTTTAGAATAGCTTTGTCATTATTACATCTGTACTTGTATAAGAAGTTAAACTTTCATGAAACAAATGTGTGAAAAGTGAGGTATGTGGAATAGGTTTTTTAGTTATTTAAAATAGTGAAGAACTTTAAAAAAGTTTTCAGGTGATGATATGTATGTGTAATAATTTGAAGGAAAACAATTGCATGAAAAGTCCCGTAATGTGTGAAAATTCTCGTATATGATTATTATATTTCTTGAATTAGAATAACCGAATAAATGTATATAAATATAAGACACTTTTCTCATTATGATATATGTATGTATAGAAGAACATAATAATTTACAAGGAAATAATTGCTTGAAAAGTCACATGATATGTGAAAAGTCACGTATATTGACTATATGTGAAAAGTTACGTATATTGACTAAATTTATATAACTGATTTAAAATATTAATTGAATTAAAATGACTGATAAATTGTATATAAAAATTAGAAAACGAATCCACTTTTATTAGTAGTATAGGTATATTGAAGCTCAACGACTAATTGATTACAAAGTTTATGAATTGGGCCTGCCGTTATAGCCTTATGGCTGTTTTGGTATTTTTGGTTCTCTAGTGATCTTGTGACCCATTGAACTGTCATTGGACGGCTGGCGCACCTTACAAATATCTTTTTCATCTATACAAATTTTGAAAGGCAGCTAGATATTTATTAGTAATGATTATTGGGCCTTGATGTAAAATCTCTCAAATATAACAAATCAAACAGTACTTATCAATTTTAATTAATGACTAATTAAAAAAATAGTTATAATTGAGATAAAATAAGTTTTTTGAAAAAATATATATATATATATGTATATATATATATAATCAATTTTCTTTTAACCAAAATGTTCCACCAAATGAAAAGTATATACCATTTCATATATGATGAACTTTTTTTAATTTTCACTCAATTACATAAATCCCACCTTTAAAAGGGTCTACTTTATCTGCCTGCAAGGTACCAAATAATGTAATTTATACATATATATTATTGCTCCATCCTTAAAATCATTTACATATACATAAATGAAAATGATCAATGTTTGCACTTAATTAGAATTCACAAGGCTGTCCTGATGACCCGATGTACAAGCTGGTCTTCTCGGGGGAAGTTGCTGGTGAGGCGTTCTCTGCAGATTAATTGCCACATTAACTATTGTAATATATACATATATATATATATATATGTGTGTGTATGTATATATGTATGGGTATTTAATTATTACCTGTAGTTTAGGCCGCAAATTCTCAATTGCCACAGTTGATTTTTGATTCACTCCTGCAGCTTGCTGTTCCATAAATGGAAAGGAAACGATGAAGAGGACGATAAAACTCTGCATCCTTTACATACTTAGATGTATATATATAATAGAACCGATAAAGAATAAAATCTATTTCATTGAATAATCACAACAATTAAAAACATTTATATGCATAATATATATATATATTTATATAGTATACTCAATTTTAAATATAACTTTAAGATCTAATGCTAATTGAAATAATAATTGTTTTTAGGAAATTACTATTTTTTTAATTAGTCATTAATTAAAATTGATAAGTGCTCTGTTGTCCGAATAATTGGATTATTTCTCGGAAGCTAGAGTTACAGCCTTACACCCTTCCCTCCCTCTTCAACCACTAACTTCTAATAATGAAAAAATATAATAAATTTAATTATAATTGAGATAAAATAACTAAAATAGACAGTTTTTTGAAAAAAAAAAAATATATATATATATATATATATATATATATATATAATCAATTTTCATTAATAATTGTCAACCACCACCACATTCCACCATCACACCACACCAGATTAAAATTAATTTTGTGTGAAATTTTAATTTGTTTTAGATTCTATTATCTTATATATGCATAATTTGTTGGTGTATTAGGAAATGCCCTTTTTTTTTTTTTTTTTTGAATATGTAGAAAATTTCCTATGTAGAGGGACCCAAGTTGTCTTATTCGTTCCATGGAGAGACTTTAATGACATGATACGAATAATTTTTTTCTTCTCCAATTACACCAAAACTTCTCTCAAACCACAAAGACAAGAAGAAAAAGACCAAAATAAAAAAAAAATAAAAAAAATGTTCATAACCCGTTAACAAAAATGTTATGAGGGAGTACTGCGTGATAATTGAATCGGTGTTTATTTGGGATTCTATAAACAAAAGATTATAATTGAATGTGTGTGTTTTGGGATTCTACGAACAAAAGATGATTTTGAGTAGCAATGGGAGTTCTTCGGCAGATCTTGGGAAACGACCATGTGCTTTTTAACCAAATTAGTTTTTTAACTCCCGCCGACGTCTTTAGCCGCGAACTCTAGTTGATTTGGTCACACATCGCCGAAGTCACAAGATCAGATCAAAAATGGTGGAGAAAGCAAAACTTGGAAACTGTGATATTTGCATACGTGGCAATTCACGTATAAAGTCAGTTATATATCCATTTTTTATGTCGGGCCAAATAGTTAGTACTCGTATATATATATATATATATATTAGAAGTTCCTATTAGGATAAAGACATTCATTATAAAGGACGTTGATGTCACACGTGATGGAGATCTTGTAAATATTAATAAGAGAATGATAAGTATTCTTAAAGTTAGGTACAAAATAAATAAGAAAAAAAATTGGAATAACTCATATAAATATAGTTGAATATTAATATATTTAAAAATAATAATCCTATTTTCCTACTATTTTTTGAAAAATAAAAAATAAAAATACCTTGCAAAGAGCCCAGTCAGCAGAATCAAAGAAGGCCCGTTCATGGTCCTGCATTCACCCAAAATTAAATCGAGTGTTAGGACAATTTCTCACATCGGTATAAAATGGAAAATTAGAGATTTATATGATACTTGCCTTTGAGATTAAGGGCTTCTTCTTTGGCACAAGTCCTCCATATTTCTTTCCAGTTGATGCAACCTATAATTGAATTATTACCACCAAATGAGTAACATGGTTTATTCCAAGAGTGATGGCATATTTTTCAAATTCACAATAAAACGAACAGAGACTAGTGGAATCCACATTTTCACTCACACAAAAATCATCCGAAATCGTCTAAATTGGGAGAATTCATCATTTTCCTTATTCCACTTATGTTTATTTATGGGTCAAGTAAAAAAAATAAAAAAATAAAAAATCCATTACCATGGATATAGTGCAAAATAGTCATTGTGTAGTGTAAAACACCCCTATACTATTGATTCGATGCAAATAACCCACTGAAGATTTAAAATAACGATAATACCCTCATTTAAGTATAATAAATTAATAAGTATAAATACAGGTCATATAAAATGACCATTTTGTCCAATTTGTGTAGGATTTTGTTTGATTGGGATAAGAACAAAATAAACATCGTTTTGTCCAAGAATGGGATAAGTTAAACCAAACAATTCCAAAACCGGATATAATAAAACCCAAACCAAACAATTCCAAAACCGGATATAATAAAACCCAAACCAAACACTCCCAAACTATATAATACATCCTTAACTTTCATTTCCTTCCCATAAAAAATAAAATAAAATAAAAAAACTTTCCAAAAAATTAATTTTCCTTCCTTGAGAAACAAATAAAATGATGGCAGAGTTGGAGTAAATGAATAAAATATAAATTAAAAAAAAATTTGGTGGGGGGGGATGTACATTCTTTTAAGGGCAAAATAGGAATAAAAAGAATAAAATCAAATTTTCATATTTACTTTTTGTGAAAAAGTGGTGGACTTATTTGCACTTTTTTTTGAATTTTAAGAACTGAAATGCACATTTTTGATTAAAAAAGAAGAAGAAAAAGAGATGTATTATGCACATAACCTATATTATATGGGATTTTTTACACTCAACCCTTTATTTATTATTAAATTTAGGGAAAATTTTTTATTTTTCTCATTCCATTTACGTCTATTTATTATTAAATTTAGGGTTGAATATGGAGTGTAAACGAAAGAAGTTCGAATCTCAATGAAAATATGTGTGTGAATATCAACTAAGAAAAAAAAAAAAAAAAAGATGAAAGGCTTTCGAAATTTTAAAAATAAAAAATTAATAATAATAAAAAATAAATTAGTTAGTGATTTTTTAATATGTAAAAAAAACTTAAAATCTCGGAGTGGGAACACACCTTGACAACATACTTGAGTATGTAAGCACTATATGTAATATAATATAATTATTGTAACAATCAAATATATTATTATATAATAATAAGAAACAAAAATAGAGTCAAATTCAGGGGATCCATTCGCACTCAAATCACCAAACCGCACGCCGAGCAAGGCAATCGTACCTAACTCAAATTTGAATGAAAAAAAGTTTTCTATCTTCTTAGACGCGCACATATATATATATATACACACACACACACACACATATATATATATATATATATTGATATGTACAATTACATGTTCTGCTAGACTTCGAAATTTCTTGAATTGGTCGTAAGAATTAGTTTTGACTGCATATAAATTCAAACAATGTGCCTAACTCAAATTTGACAAAAAATAAAAAAATCTTTAATATATATATATATATATATATATATTTTTCTGACCAAAACTTACTTAAACGATGCAAAGTCCCAGTCAGGACAAAAGAACGAAAACTTCAATGTATGGAGACCTCCAAAACTGCACTATCTTTCTTTTCTCTGAACACCACACCATCCCGTGTGACAAGCCTTATAGTATTTGTAGTGGTCAGTTAGTAATTATTTTTCAAAGTGTTTGAAATCATTATACACTAATTGTTATTAATTAGTTAATTTGATTTGTTTATATTAATATTTGTCTGAATATTATAATTGATATTATACATTACTTTACCCAACATAATATGTATACTCCGTGTGTAATACGAATATGTGTTTGTTATATATATGGTTAAGAAAAAGTCCACGTGATTCAGTCTTTAAGACGACCTAACAACCAATTCGGCTTTGTACCATTCACTATGTGACGTGCTTGACTTATGTATATATACATATTTCTGACTATATATATATATATATATATATATATATATCTTTCGCCGACAATCGTTCAATAGAATGGAATATACCTAAATCTATATGCATAATTGCCCAAACTCTGTGGCTTATATTCTGTTTTCTATATATTGATCTGAGGGTCATAGAGCTTTTCGATACTTAGATCTAAGGGACCACCAATACAGATACTGTAGGGCATGTCAAACGGAATCATTTTGGGGCCAATTCCCATAAATATCAACCCAAATTTCCGTTCACGTTTAATAAATGTGTATTATATATACACAGACACACACAATTATTCACTTGCATCATTGTGTGCAAGAAAATATACTCAGGCTCCAAGTATTAATTGTCAAATTTTGTTGAATAGTTAAAAAATAATTTATATTTTTATATTTAACAATTAAAATTTAATTCGTAAATAAATTTTATTAGATTTTGTCCCGTTATATTACGGAACAAATTGAAGCACAATGGAAGCAAAAAAAAATAGCTCATTTGGCTCCAAATCATATTAATTAATAGAGCAATAATATTATATCACCACTTATAAAATCCTTTTTTTGAATTCTTGGAATTTGAAAGATGGACTATTTTTTAATAAATATAAAATAATCTTGATTACCTGGTTGCCATGTATTTCATAGGCCACGGACACGCACACTTGCTAATGCAATCACGACGGTTAGATTGTTTATCAACGGCTTAGACGTGCTGTATATCTAAAATGTGGACCCTCCACAATTTTCTGACCATATCTCTACTAAGTGTATCTAGATCATGAAAGAGGTGGTCTTCCGAATGGATGGTCTGGATTTATGTATGATGTAGGCTCCATATTCTTCAGACCTCAAAATCTATGATAACATCGACAATTTTATACAATTTTTTTTTTTTGAAAAGTAATTCAATATAGGCATAAGTCCTTCATATATTTTTCTTAGATTTCATAGACAAGAAGTAGAATAATAAAACTTTATTTATCAAAAAAAAAAAAAAAAAAGAATAGTAATAAAGCTGAAAATGAATGAATATTATGTCTGTGAATATTTTCAATTTTTTTTTTCAGCTTTCTTTATTTACCAAAAATATAAAAGAAAATGAAGGATGTATATGCACACATCCTACACACATAAATAAATAAATATATATATATATTCACATATACACGTATTCAAATTATCTTTTGGGTAAATAAAGTTAAAAAAAAAAAAAAAAAAAAAAAGAATTCTTCATATATATATATATATATATATATATATATATGTATATTTACATACACATATTCACAAGGTAAATGGGCAATAGCCAATAGGTACCTTACCTCTTGGTCCTGGGAAGCAATGTACTCCTCGCTTCCGTTGTAATCCGCCATCTAAGCGATATATATATATATATAACCTGTTACATTCACTATCATTAATCATTGATCAATAGACAATTAACAGAAACGCTTCATTGAAATTAACTTTCATGTTATAAAAAAAACAACTAACTCTCAAACAATTGTGTGTGTGTGTGTGAGAGAGAGAGATAAACCTTCCAATTATAACAATCAAGACAATACCAGAAGTGAAATGGGTACCACTACAACAAAAACCCCAATATATATATAGACACAGCTTATCTCAAAACAATTGTGTGTGTGTGAAAAGCATAATAAAAAGCAACCACATCCCACAGTCAAAAAGGGGGAGAGAGAGAGAATCTTCCATTACCTTCAATTGCAGGAAGGGAGAGAATCGAAGCAAGCAAAGGGAGAGGAATGGGTTTGGGGAAAAAAGAGGGTGGAGTAAAAGGGCAGATAAGAATACGCTTGAATGCCTTTTTTTGTTATACATATATATATATATATATATATGGAAACAAAAGCTAACTAACAATCTAGGAAACTACAACATCCTGGAAACTATGAGACCTAAGAAGAGTTGGGTAGGTATAGAAAGGGGGACGGTGGAAGAAAGAGAGGACAATATTGAAAATTTAAATTAAAAGTGGGTTTAGCTATGAAATTTAAGCCATAGCCCATAGGGAGACTATATATATATGTATATACAATATTATAGATGTATATAAATTATATATAGACATACAATATGTCTGTGAACTGAGAACTATGGTTAAAGCTGTTAGGACATCAACATCGGTCCCCAGCTAAGCCCATACCGTACATTTCACACGTGTTTAGCATCCTATGTTACCGACACCTTCCTGATCCTCACAGGCTATACACGTGTGAACCTTTTTATTTTTATTTTTTGTTTTTCCTCTCTTTTTGTGAATGGTATCACAATATTGACCTAAAACATGTGTTTTACGTTGTACTTGATTAATTTCGGTTGAAATGCAACAGATCAATGGAACATTTAAATTGTTAAAGACAGGACAGTTTGTAACGATTCGGTGTGACACTAAGGGCCCGTTTGGCATTGTGTTTGTTATTAGTTTGGCTGTTTTGGTTTTGTACTTTGGATTCATATCATACTCGGGGTAGACTGATTTGGTATTGAACAGTACCAAAATTGATATGAAATTTGTGACAAAATCCATATCACTGAATTGGTGATATTGGATGTTATTGACACTGTAACAGCCATATCACCAAATACTGCTGTGGACATATCAAGTATAAAACCATAATTTTGTAACCCTAGCCTCATTTCTAGTGTGACCGTTTTAGTTTTTAGGCCAGCGCGTCTTGTGATAAACTGAACGTAAATCCGATAATGAATCCAGAATGCGAAAGCAAGAAACAAGACAATAGTCTCCCAAGGTAAAACACACCTCTAAGACACTTTGATGACCTTCCATGAGATCGTGCAACTCAATGAGAATTAACGCGGAAATAAAATATCGAAAATATGACAAATAAGCCCCTAGAGGCAAAATAGTCATTTTACATGGAAATGACGTCCCTAGAATGTATATTATTTCCGAGACACATTCATGACTTCCCATAAAGTTACGGAACTCAAAAAAAAGTAACGAAGCGAATTACAAGAAAACCGGACAAAAATAGCCCCAAGGGCAAAATAGTCATTTATGAAAATATAGATTCGGGTGCTCCCAAGCACACCAATGGAAAGACAATGAAAGATTAATCAAGATGGACTCAAGAATCGCATGATTCGGAATCCGGACAAAGGAGAAACGACAAAACAACGAAAAACAGATATACAAAGCAAAAAGGGTAAAATGGTAATTATCTAGGAAGATCTAGGTGCAACAGAGCACACCGTTGGAAAGACAGCAAAAAAATAGTCAAGCTCAAAATTTTTTTTACTCGATTTGGAGTCCAGACGAGGGAGAAAGGTCAAAAACAAAAAGATGGTCATGACAGCTACAGTACTGCCAACCCACTACTGTTGCCACTAAGAGTAAAAACGGGCATCTAAACTGATTTTTTTAAAAAAACTCAAAGAAGAAACCCTCTAAAATCAAGTATTCTACCCAGCAATGTAGACGGAAACAAAAAAAATGCATTGTAAAATGCCCAGAATGCCCCCAAGAAAATCAGGTCAAGAGGGTAAAAATCCTTCCGAGCTGCTGCCCAAGGAAAGGAAATGGGGCTTCGAGAGGTTTTTAAATTACCTAAATTGAAAATACAATCTTAAAATACACCCACAAGACCCCCGGAAGTTTCGGATCGGTCATCACACTTTTCAAAAAAAAGTCGATGAATAGTACCAAGTACACTTATATTAAAAATCAGCAAAAACCTGGCAGCAAGGATTTTTCGGAAAACAATGGATTTTTAAGGGCCAAGATGACGTTTTCTGGAAAAACACAAAGAAGAAACCCCCTCCGAAATAGAGTTTTCTATCAAAAATGTGGGCGAAAATAAAAAAAAAAAAACACATTATGAAATATCCAAAATGCCCCTGGAACATAATAGGGTAAAAACTCAAAAAAATGCAACTTTAAGTTTTTGTTTCATTAAAAAGGGTATTGTGTGCCAAAGTGAACATGCAAGTATACGTAATATGATAAAGTAGACGTATTACAATGGCCTACGGCCTCATGGCATGTTGTATGTAAAATATGACCCTTCAATGCATAAAATTTCCTAACTTCCATAAGCAACAATGAAGTTAAAAATTTGCATACATATCACATAAGTGTCTTTGACCCTTGGCCTCATTATATACAAGTCAAATACATTGCATAGAGTATACTTATATACACATTACATAAATGGAACTAAATACACACATTTTGACAAATAAGGCTACAAGTGGCATTTCAAGCCAACCTTTACAAGAATTAAAACCTTCAAGTCTATAATCATCCAAGCAATGTTGAACATCACGAACCAAGTCTTTGTACCTGAACAAAACCACCAGTAACTTCGAGGTGAGTAAACAAGTTTACTCGTAGAGAATGAGCATGCATCGACTCGATTTCTTATAGATTTTTACATTTACATGAAGCAATTCAAAAGGTTCATGCCACCTAACGTCTATGTCATGGTTAGACTCAGAGAGCATCCTAAGCTATCTTAAATCATTCTTAGTATAAACAACGTAGAAGCATGTTAAACGAAACAACAAGATATAGATTTTCAAAGCCATCAACTTGATATGAAAAACGAAATCAAACAAAGTGGATACTTGAACGTCACGCCGGATCAGGCCGACGCCATAGTTACTTTAGAGTTACTAGCCCACAGGTAACCTCCCTATGTGCGCACTAGACTTGTAGAGGGACAATCCTCCGTACTAGAACCATGTCCTAGCCTTAGTCAAACAACAACATTCCTAAGTTTCCAAAATCAACAAGTTATGCAACAACATATATATCAACACATATATACAAGATAATCAACTATATACCATGCATAACCAAATTTGGAAACAGATAAAATACATTCTCTAAGTCCACAACTACTATAGCATGAAAGATGTCAAATACAAAATGTGCAACTCATTTCACAAGACAATGATATATTCAATAAGGAAAACATATTCTCATGAATATAAATATAACAACTATGTTATCCAATGCTCAAAATGTAACCAAGTGAATATACAATAAGTCCAAGTCCATGATTTAAACATAGAAACAACTTCCAAAACATAATTAAATCCATTGAGCAATTAAATAGAATTTAATTAAATAAAAATAATTAAATTCTCTAGATTTCAAATCAATTCCAAATGGCTTCAAATTAATATATGTCAAAGATCATATCGTGGTCATTACATATATCATATCAATACTTTAATTTAAGCCATGAGTAGAAAAACATAATTTAATTAGATACAAATAATTAAATTCTCTAGATTTCAACATTCATCCAAATATTCCAAATTTAATATATGTTAAACAATATGCCAAGATAATCACTAATATAAGCTCAAAAGTTTAATTACATCATTGGAATAGTTGAATAGAATTTAATTAAATAAAAATAATCAAATCTCTAGATTTCAAGACATCTTCAAATCCTTCCAATTTAATATATAACAAAGATTAAATCATGATAATTACTAATATCAAGTCAAAACGTAATTATATCAATGGAGTAATTAAATAGAATTTAATTACATAAAATTTAAATAAATCTCTAGATTTCAAAACAAATCCAAAATTTTTCAAATTAATATATAACATAAATTAAGACAAGGCTTAATCAAATATCAAGTTCTTAATTAATTATTCATCATATACAACCATGTGAATTAATTTTTAACTAATGAATAATTAAATTAAATCCTAAATTTCATACAAAACATGGTATACACATAAAAAAAAAAAATAATAATAATAAATCATTCCCTACCTCACTAGAGAAGTGTCTCTCTAGAATCCAAGGCAAATCAACATAAAATGACAAACCCTTCAAGGGTTATGTAGAGGAGGATGAGGGGAACAAAAAATATTCTAAACTTTATGGTCTAAGGTGAGTGGAAGGACCTCAAAAATCACCTTTAAAGCCTAAGCATCAAGCTTCTCTTATAGTGGCTAGGTTTTGTGGTAAGGAAGATGATGATACAATATGATAAAGTGTGAGTGGAGGAAATAGAAATCCTCCACTCACTATGTGATCTTACACCATAGTCAACACACACAAGTCTTGGTCAATTGTACAAAAATCCTTATTTAAAACCATAATTTCAAAGTGGCTCAAAAATAATTGCAAGACTTAATTTGGAGCATACACTTGTCACTAATCTAAGCCAACAAGTGGTCCAATCCTAGGCCAACAAATGGGTGAATCTCCACACTTCATGTGTCAAGAGATTAAGCTTCCAAGTGGTTCCACCAAAATGTCAACAAGTGGTTCCATAGGAGTGTGACACTTGTCACACTTTTCAAAAATTACAAAAAGGTCCTTTTTGAAAATAACTTCCAAATTTAATTGCAAAAAGGTCCTTAAGATGAAAAATAATTATTTTTCATAATTATACTAAAACCCCAAAAGTTTAAGAAAATTACCAAAAGTCATGCATCCATGCCCTTTACAAGAAAAATAAACATTTAGCATACTTTTATACAAAAGTAAAAATATAGATATCATAGAAACTAAATATTATGGATGCATACAAAGCTGGAGTCAAATTCGAAGGCAAAAAGTAAGGTTATGCAACAAAAAAGGAAACCGGGAAAAGACAAAAAGTAAATAGTGACGAAAAATAAAAAATGCGAAAATGACTCAGTCTTTAAAGGAAGTTGTCAATCCCAAGAAAAGAGTTTCAGAAACCATTTTCGAGCACTCGATATGACACTAAGTGACAGAAAACCAAACAAAGAAGAGAAAAGACAGCGGAAAAAAATTTATCCGTAAAATTTGAACAAAAAGAAAAGAAATGAAAATGACCGGATCATTACAACCTTCCCACCTTAAAGGGATTTCGTCCACGAAATCTAGCCCCAACGAAATAAAAGGTGAAACCAGGATAACTATGAAGTACATCTTCGAGTATCCCACACAACATGCTACGAAAGCAATCCCAAAATTGGAAGACAACGTACAAACCAATGTCATTCGCACCCACGCGCTCACGACAGGAAAACCTCTCAAAATAAAAGTGACCTCACGGCCACACGACAAGTCAAAGTCACACATAGAACCTAAG